GGGGGGGGGTTGGTTATGGGTGTGGGGGATGGACTGCCCCCCATTGTGTATATAAGGAAAAAAGCTAGCTGGTGCTGAGGATATCGAAGTTCTTAAATTTGAATCTATTGGAACACTTTTGAACAATAATTAAGTAGAAAGTATCTTGATTGATAAAAAAAAAATTAAGTAGAAAGTATCTTGATTAAGGGAAAATAAGTAGTTATATACTTGTGCAACTGTACAAATAGATTTAGTTAAAAAACTTTGCATTTATCCAAACTTAAATGTGCTTGCCTTTCATATTTCTTTGGTTTTTGACAATTTGTGTCTTGTTGGTGGAGGATATCAATCATCATAATTTATGGATTTTCATCTTGCTAAAACGTTTGTTTCTTGGGCATATGTTAACGTAGGGGACTTACATAAATAAGACTTAAGTTGTGATTGGAATGGAGGAACAACAGGGGGAAGTAGAAGATGTGGAAACCACTTCTAGTGATTCATTTGTTGATGATTCAGGTGATGGTGAACCATCCACATCTGAACATGATGATGGAGCTCATCTCGAGGCAAGTATTTCACTTACATTTGATATTCCGTTTACTTTATCTCTTATCATGTCACATTGTCTTATTAAATGTTGCAAATAAAACCCGAAATTGATTTTTTCAATTTGTTGTTTATTGTTTTACCTAATACTTTTTATTAAATGTTCCATCAAACATTAATTTAATATATCCCTCCTCAGTTGGTGTCCATTGTTTATGGACTCTTAATTTCCTCGTGGAAGATGGAGCCACCTCTCCCCACTTTCTCCACAAGTCATCATATGAATAGTAAGAAAAAAACTCCATGGATTTGACCCAATGCACCACCCTAGCCATTATGCACTCACACATTGCCTCCTGACTTCTTTCCTCCCCGAAAATTTCTCTCTTGCTCTTATTGTCCACACAATTGCTGCCATTGTGCATCTCCACACAACCCTCCCTATTTTTCTTGGCCATGTGAAAGTCACTTCATAGAATAACCTTGCCATATTTGGAGGTACCATTCACCAGCCACCAAAGAGAGAGAAAAACCCTTCCTGACTACATGCAACGAAAGGAGAAGAGATTTGTAAATGATAACAAGTCTCACCATTAGCCTTACAAAGAATGCACCAATTTGGGGATGAGCACCAGTCTGGTCTTTCGTTTATATACATTTATTATACATGTACAAGTTAAAAGTTGTTAGTTTTTAAAACCTTTTTTAGTTTTTAGTTTTTTGTATTCATAATAAGGTGAATACAGATTAAATCTGAGTCCAATATGAGCCCGACATATCAAATCTTGGATCTAAAGATTTGATAATCGGATCGGATGTGGATGTAGCTAGTTCAAGCTGACTACAGCCCTAGGTGTTGCCTTGACAACTATGGTTCCTACCACATATTTTCAAACAAAAAAAGGGTGCTTGAACTTGCATGAGGACTTGCAAGTTGCAGCAATTATTTATCAAGGTTGGAATGTGTCAGCGACTGCTTTTGTTGTTAATTGTTTGGTCCTTTTGTTAGTTGGGTTTAGTTTGTCAGCTTGCTTGGACCATTTGGTTAAACAGTTTCAAACGTGAAGCCTCTTATTATAATTAATATGTCATATGGATTGAATTTGTAAGTGTCAATTTTCTTTGTGCAGACACCTTTGACTGATGAAGAAGTAGAAGAACTCCTTGCTGAGTTCTTGGAAGTTGAGAGTAAGGTATTATTCTCTTTCATTTGATTAATCTTCCCTTTTATTTTTTCCGTGTCTTTTTCCTTGTCTCATTCTAATTTTTAGGCAGCCGAGGCGCAAGAATCACTTGAGAAGGAGTCACTTGATCGTGTGGAGAGTGAGGTCCGAGCAGAATTGGCACAGACCATTAGTGGGGATGATGTAAGCTTAATCCCATTTTTGTAGTTCCATTTCTTTAACCCTTTGGAGCTTATCCATTGTCACTGACTTAGTTTTGTTTTTTATTTTTCATTTTTTAGTTGGACATGGCAGTTAAGACTGAAATGAGAATTTTCGTGGAAGAGTGGGAAAATGTTCTGGATGGATTGGAGACAGAGAGTGCCAACTTGTTGGTCTGCCTCTTTCTTCCCTCAATTTTGAGTAAAGTATTTGATTGTTGATAAATGTTTTACAAATTACCAATCAAGAAAAGTTATACAAAATCTGTGTGTGTATTCTTGTAAATTGGTATTTTCTTTTTTTTTTTTTTATCAATAACAAAATGCTTTATTAGATTATAAAAATTGTGAAACTTTAAGTACAAGAAAGGGGAGGTAAAATATCTTAACTCCCCCACAACAGAGAACAATAAAGAAAGCTAAAAATTAGCCCAAAACAAAGAGTCCTTAAGCATCCCTTGCTTGGCTAACCCATCATCCATGGAATTAGCACTTCTCTCCACCCAACTGTACTTCACCTCAATATCCCTCCTTAGCCATTTAAATTTTTTCTTTTCATTTCTGTAGCTCCACAAGCCATTGCTGTCTTCCTTCAACCACCTAATCACCACCTTCGAGTCCCCTTCAATGACCAAGCACCGAATGTTAAATTCTCTTGTTCTTTTGATTCCTTCCAGAACTGCTAAACTCTCAGCCGTAAGAGAGTCACCCTCTCCAATAGGGAGAGAACATGGCATTAGTAATCCCAGCCTCATTCCTGAAAACTCCCCCAATCCCCGAAGGCCCAGGATTCCTTATGCTACAACCATCAAAATTCAGTTTTATGAATCCTGAAGGAGGGGGGGACCAAGAAGGTCTAGAGGTCCTTTTGCACTGGGCCGAGGTAGCTATTTCTTTCCACTTTCTCAAAAGGTCAGCCATGGAATAATCTGAAAAAAGCTCCAAAGGTTTCAGCCAGTGACCAACCCTTAAGCGTATCAATTCAGTCTGAATAACTGGATGAATTTGCATTAGTGGAAGGGATGCAACTTGGATGGGTAGTTTTAGTTGCATGGCTAACTAATCTCTGCTTTACGAGCTGATCACCCAGACCATGCCCTCACCCAGCCTGGGGATAATATAAAACAATCAACCTGTCCAAAACTGAATTACAGATTTGTAAATCCTGACATAACTTTGGATAATGTCGTGATGGATTTAAATCTGAGCTAGTCAGAACGATGTTTCAAGAAGGAAGAGCTACTGAGCTAGTATCACAATGTATAGAGTTGTTGGTGTATCTTTTATCATTTGTAAAATTAGTAAATATATGCACCTTAACTTCCTTTTTAGTTGTTGTTAATAGAAATTGAACTTTTATTAATGATATAAAGAAGGTAGTGGGAGGTCCACAATCTAGATTTCCAATTAGCTATACAGCATCCTATCCATTGTGCTAAATTCTTACTGAAAGAAATATAGATGTCGAGTTTGGTGTTGGTATGTTTGTGATGCAGGAGGAAGGAAGAAAAACTGGTTTTTTCTTTTTTGAAAAAAATTATGTACTTTATTTTATGTGAGTAGGGGTATTTTGGTGAATTTGCATCTCCTTGGGGGGGGGGTGTGATATTAGTTTGATTGTCTGTTCATAGTTTATTTGCATTTAAAATTTCCAAATCATTTGTTAAGTAGTTTAGAAATTATAGAATTTTATTATGTTAGTGGCAATTGTAATTGTTTTTCCTAGTTCTAGTAGGATTGGCCACCTCTATTGTGTCTAATATATGTGTATAGTGAAAAAAACATAAAAGATGTTGAATGAAGTTTATTTGAGATCTTACAGCTTATGCTATGTGTGGTGAGTGATTCCCATGCCCTACAGTGATTTTGAGTTTTCTCTCATCTTTCTCTCTCTATTGCCTTTTTCTTCATTCAAGAAGCCAATGCATCCTTCAACTGCCATAGTCTCTCCTTCAATATGTATTCATTTAGCATTTTTAAAGGATTGTAAATTGATCTAGGTTGGGTTCTCTTTATTTTCATTGAAATCAAAATTTTCATAAATGGTAACCCAATCATTTCTTCTTTTTCTTTTGTCAAACCGTGTCCAATTACATCCATATTTCACATGTCATCCCTCCAAATATCATCCCAAAATTTGACTTGGATCTCTAGATTCTATTAATCTTGAATTTTATCCACAATGCTAGTATTTTATCCTTTAGTGAAAATATATTTGAAACATGACCAAACTTGGTCTCCCTTCACAACTATCCATTCTAGTCCTACATAAAAATTCCTATCTCAAATCTATTTTCCTAATTTTGAATAATTGTCAATTTCTAGAAAACATAAAATCCTATTTTTCAGACACCTATGACTAAAAAATAAATTTAAAAAAACTCAAAGAATGCTGGTATACTATCATCTCAAATTTCTGAAATTTGCATAGGAATCAGAAAACTGGTTTAATTCTCCATGGATTATTTCCTTGCTTTGTCTGCATCACCATCTTATGAACGTTTGTTTTCATTGAAATGCTTTTGCCTAGTCTACTCTTGTTCTGTTTTCACTGATATGTTTGCATACTAATGGGTATATATGTAGTTAATTATTCATATTAGGAGCATTCTAATTTTTAAGATTTCATTCCCCACCCCTGGGGGAGGAAATAGAAAGAAAAAAGTAGTGATATTTCTTAGATATGCATCCTAAGGCAAACTGTTGTCTGGTAATGAAATCTATTTCTAGTTGCAATGCTAAGTTGCAATGCTAAGTTGCTGAGCTAGCTACTTGTTTTCACAACCATGTGAGTCTCAACTTCTTTTGTGTTATATCTTTTGTGCACTTCCTGTATTTGTTTACATGCTTTTCTCACAGGAACAACTTGATGGGGCTGGTATTGAACTCCCAAGCCTTTATAAATGGATTGAGAGTCAGGCTCCCAATGGTTGCAGCACTGAGGCATGGATGAAAAGGACTCACTGGGTGGGATCTCAAGTAACAACTGACATTACTAACTCAATTTTAGATGCAGAAAAATTTCTTCAATCCCATCGGCCTGTCAGGAGGTTTGATTCCACCCTTTATCATTGTCTTTTTGGGGTTCGGCACTGGTTAAAACATAACTTTATGTTGGTGTACTTTTGTGTCCAGACAACATGGTAGGCTTTTGGAAGAAGGTGCAAGTGGATTTCTGGGAAGAAAGCTTGCAAGTGAAGACAATAAAGAAATTGTAAGAGAAAATTCAGAAGCTGATTGGTCTGTGTTCAACAAAATCATTCAATCTCAGCGTGTTGATGGTACTTCATTTGGTAGCAAGCATTGGGCATCTGTTTACTTAGCTAGTACACCACAACAAGCAGCAAATTTGGGGCTCAAGTTGCCAGGAGTTGATGAGGTTGGTAATCTGGGTTTTAGATGTTTAGTTAGTAGTTTATTCTTGTTTTTGATCAATAACTGAAATTCATTAAAATAAGAAAAAGTATAAGGGTGTACAAGCAAGGGAGGGATAGACTGTCTTAACTCTCCCAGAATCAATACAAATTACAACAAAGCCGAAAGCAGTTGGTTCCTTCCCACCGCTTGTTTGGCCAATGTGTCAGCAAGTAATTGGTCTCTCTTTTAACCCACTGAAAAGAGACCTCCATATATTGTAACAGCCACCTGATTCTCCTTTTCTCATGGATGTAGTTCCACCACCCAGCATCCTCTTCCTTATGCAACCAATTGATAACTAATTTTGATTCCCCTTCCAATTACCAACTTACATATCTGCATGCCCTTAGCTTTCTGAATTCCTTCCATAGCAGCAAAAGTTTCAGCCCTTAAAGAATCATCTACCTCAATTCGACCAGAATAAAATGCAATGATATTACATCTTCATTCCTGAAAACTCCTTCAATGCCTGAAGGACCTGGATTACCTAGCTGCTGTCGCCAAAGTTCAGTTTTACAGATCCTACCTCAGGACGGGACCACATAGGTCTGACAACCTCCTTCATAGGAGCCGAGTCAGCTCCTATTTCTCATGTCTTTTTTGGGACAAAAATGTTTGAGAAGGGGAAGCTGCCATATTTTCTTCTACCATTTGGCAGTTGATGGTTTGGTGCATATAGCTGAATGCAGGAATAAGAAACTGGTTTTTATCTTTTATTTTGGTTGTTCAGTTTATTACCATCTTTTTTTTTTTTTCTGAGAAGTAGGTTTTGTATCCCTTCAATCAATTTTCGCTTTAAAAAAAGAAGATGCCCTTTTTTGTTTGTGCTCTCAATGGGTCTGCTATGGTCTGGGTCTAGGTAGAATGGCTCCTGACCTGATAAATAAATGTGCAGAACCAGTCCTGAATCCAACCCTAGACAACCTTTGTTACAGAATCGTAACCTATCCAATTATTATTTGGGACTGACCTGATAAGACCAGATTATAATTGACTGTTTATTTTTAACTTGTAATTTGACAATAACCTGCAAATTTGTCAAATTGATACATTTGGAAATGATAATATGCTAATATTACAATCATATCACGAGAAACAATGTATTAGACTGGTGTTATCTTTTTAATATGCTAATTTGGGTCTTTATTTGGTTTGGAACAAGCAAAACTGATCCTGACCCAATTATAATGACATAATGTTAAAACTCAGAACTGACCCAATTATAATCAGGACAAGTGAAGTGGAACCAGACCCTATATAATTGGATAGGATCTGTTCAGTCTACCTTTATGGCTCTTGCTTGTTGGGTTATCTGGAAATACTTTGTATGCTTATTCAGCACCAGCTTGTGCTTGGTTGTGTTTTGTTGGGAATAGTGTCTTGAACTCAAGGAAGTCATGCAAATATCTTCTTGGTAGTTTCACTATTTGTTTTAACTTTTTCTTTGTCATACAGGGTAAATCCCTTCTACATCAACTATGATTTATTTTGGGGTATTTTTTTAGAGAGAGAATTTAGTCCCTAACAGTAGGTTTTTTGCTAGATATTCGGTGTTCCCTAGTTGTGCATTTTGGGTTCTAAATGGGCTTATATGTTGCATTCTAGGTTTTTGGTTTTTTAGTGTAGGTATTCATTTGTTAGATTACGGAAGTGTAAGGATTTTTCTTGGGAAGGATATGAGTAGGGATGGCAATTTTACCCACAAAACCGGGTCCCCGATCCGCCCCGCCCCGAATGGGGCCAGTTTTCCCCGGTCACAAATGCATACGGGTCGGGTTCGGGGAATTTTTTTTGCCCCAAACCGGGAATGGGACGGGGATGAGTTCTGCCTATAAATCCCCGAACCTGCCCTGACCCCGGTTTTAATTTACAACTACACACACACACACACACACATATATATAATGTATTAAACGTATTAGGGTAAGAGTAATTTGACTAAATTCGTGTTTCTTGAATTCCTGTTTCGTCTTCTTCAGTTTCACTGTTCAACCTTCACTTAGCGCAGAGACCTTCATCCTTCGCACAACCGCCGACCACCGGGCATCACCGCCACCATAGAACCGCTGACCACTGGCTGCTGACCGCCGTAGCACAGAGCTGCGGCTCAATCTGCAACCATATTCAGTTCAGTCTTCGTCTTAGAGACTTCTCAATTTCTTAGTCTGCAATCTTCTTCCGTTCTTGCTCTCCGTTTGTCCACCAACCGCCGGGCACTGTCGCCACTGTAGAATGGCCGGCCTCCGGCTGCCGACCGCTGTAGCACAAAGGTGCAGCTCAGTCTGCAATCGCCAATTCGTCTTCAACCTTTCTCGGTCTGCAATCTTCTTCGATCTTTCTTGCTCTCCATTCGTCTGCTGACCGTTGCATCAAGATCAGGTCCAAGCTCCTCATTGTCCAACAGTTGAGGGTTTCTGAAAGACTGTCCTGCTAATTGAATCAAAACAGAACAAACGAATGGCATTTTAGGTTCTTGTAAACTGAAATGTCATGCGGCCTTTCATGGAAACCCTTCCTCTGATTTACATCTCTGCTCCATTCCATTTCATCGATCTCTTTTGGCTTTTAGGCCAGCATCTCTGCAAGCTCGTCCTCCAACTTACCCATTGAAACAGTCATCGAGGCGGAGAAATATCGGGGATTACCCGTCCCCAGATCATTGATTGCGGGGCGGGTACATGTCAGGGATTCCCCATCCCCAACGGGGCCGGGGATGGGTGCGGGGATTTAAGCTACGGGGCGGGGACGGGGAGTGGGTGCCCCGTTGCCATCCCTATATATGAGTTTGGGGAGCRTTTTTCTTGGGAAGAAAATTTCTCTTCAGGATTTATTTATACTTTTCTTTAAGTTTGCAGTTTGCACTGCTCAACACAACTCAACATAGTTTTTTCCCAACTAAATGTGTTTGGCTCCATGAATCCTGTTCCATTATTCGTTTGTATTGGGTACCATGTTTATTATTGAATTACAGGCCCTTGAATCTTTCTCTCTACTTCAATGCATGTCCCTCGTAGCCTTCCATTGACTCTTCTTGATGATTTTCTTGTTCTTTATGTCCATTGTTGAATTACAGGCCTTAAATATATCATCTTACGTCATCTCATCATGTCTTTATTGTTAAATTACTTCTTACTGGTTTCATAGTTGATCTTTCACATCTTAAATGGAAAATTTTATTTGTTATCCTTCTTAATCTCCTTCATGGGATTTACTTACTGTATCTAATAGGTTATTTATGTAATTGTACTATATTTTTTAGCATGTTTTCCTTGTTCTAGAAATTGAATGCAAGGTTAAAACATATTAGTGACTCACTCTTGAGACTAATCCAGATTCCTTGGAAGTACAATTGAAATTTGACCTTATTTGTTTTTGAAAAAGTACATACATATATATGGCTGGCTTGTGGTTGGTTTATTGGTTTGTGTAGAAGACTCTCTTTGTGAAGGTCAATTGGGGTTAAAGCTGTTTTGGAGTCGATTTGGGTCATATCTGTGTAATAAAATATGCTAGCATTCTAGGTTGCTCAATTTATCAGTACTTCAACCTTGAGCTGAAGTAAACCTTGGGGGGAGAACCATTACCATTAGGTCTTTCTCCAACCTTCTTTGTTGTTTGACTTTTTAGAGTATCAGTGCCACAAAGTAGAGAAAATTATGAAAAACTTGCTTCGAGAATCAGGCATACTCCCATAAAGATAACTTAATCAATAGGGATTTGGTGAGCAAATTAAATGAAGAGTGTGGGGACCACAATTCTTGCACAATAAGTCTTAGGGAAGTTTAGCTGCCAACTTCAAGGTGCCTTTGTTGAAGGGAGACAGATTGTAGACAATGTTTTAAAAGGCGTGGGAGGCATATGCTTGGAGGCGCGCCTCTAGGYGAGGCAGCCTCAGAATGCCCTGAGGTGTATGCCAATGGCATTGACACCTCTGAGGTGTATTTCTCATGTGTTTTTTCATGAGGTGTGCTAGGGGGAAGAAAAGTATGCCTCTGGCATGCTCGCTCGCATCCGCTTCGACAAGGTCCCCCCTTCTCAACTAGTGCTATGGATTCTTCATTCTCATTATTATAAAAGGTTTTATTAAAAATAAAGGAAAATGAGATCCTCCTTCCTCTTCTTCCTCCTCTCCTTGTCACCCCCCTTGAGGAGGCTTGTGGCTCCTTGTGTTTGGGATGCTTATGCCTCTTACATTTTGAACTACACCTCACGCCTCTAGGTAGTGGACCACCTCACATCACACCTCTGTGCTTTAAAACATTGATTGTAGATCATATATTGGTGGCAAATGGTTGTGTAGCAGAGAAGGGGAGGAGGAGAGGGAAGGGCTTGGTGTGCAAATTGGACTTAGAGAAGGCCTATGCCTTTGTGAATTGGTCTTTTCTTTTAGAAATCATGGAGAAAATTTGTTTGGGGGAGCGTGGAGGATGTGAATGAAGGGTTGCTTAAGCTTATTGCAGTACTCAATACCGATTAATGGTGTGGATAGAGATTACTTTCTAGCGAAAAGAGGGTTGAGGCAAGGTGATCCCCTATCTCCCTTTTCACCATAATTTCTGATGTTTTAATTAGGATGGTCTTGGAGGCTAACCAAAGTAACCTATTTAGAGGATGGAGGGTAGGAAGCCTAGAGTTGATAGTCACACAATTACAGTTTGCAGATGACATTGTTTTATCATGTGAGGGAGGTAATTAGGAGAATATAAGATCTCAGATTTCTTTAGTTCCTTTGAATCGGTCTCCAAATTGAAGATCAATTGGGGAAAGAGTTGTATAGCAGGGGTCAACTTGCAAGATGAAAATATGAGAGTAATAAAAAGAGATGAAAATATGAGAGTGCTAGTTGAGGTTTTGGGGTGTGAGGTTAAATAGTAGCCATTGGAATATTTAAGGCTACCTGTCTACTTATCTATAGGTGGAATAGTCCTAATTAGGGTAACCTTAGCAAACCTACCAGTCTAC